GGCTACTCCATTTCTTCTAAGGGATTCTTGCCCACAGTAGTAGATATAATGGTCATCTGAGTTAAATTCACCCATTCCAGTCCATTTTAGTTTACTGATTCCTAAAATATCGATGCTCACTCTTGCCATCTTTTGTTTGACCACTTCCAACCTACCTTGATTCATGAACTTAATATTTCAGGTTCCTATGCAATATTGCTCTTTACAGCATTGGACTTTACTTACATCATCAGTCACATCCACAACTGGGTATTGTTTTTGCTTTGGCTCCATCCTTTCGTTCTTTCTGGAGTTATTTCTCCACTGATCTCCAGTAGCATATTGGGCCCTTACCGACCTGGGAAGTTCATCTTTCAGTGTCCTATCTTTTTGCCTTTTCATATTGTTCATGGGGTTCTCAAGGCAAGAATACTGGAGTGGTTTGCCATTCCCTTCTCCAGTGGACCACGTTTTGTTAGAACTCTCCACCATGACCTCTTCATCTTGGGTGACCCTACACAGCATGGTTCACAGTTTCACTGAGTTGACAAGGCTGTGGTCCATATGATCAGTTTGATTAGTTTTCTGTGATTGTGGTTTTCATTCTGTCTGCTCTCTGATGGATAAAGATAAGAGGCTATGGAAGCTTCCTGATGCCAGAGACTGACTGAGGGGGAAACTGGGTCTTATACTGTATTTTAAATACTGGTAATGTATTTTAAAATGCTGTTATTAGGTGCATATTATTACACAAGGTTATCTGGAAAATCTCCCAATAGTTGGAAATTGTAGAACACACTTTAAATATATGGGTCAAGAAAAGAAATCTCAAATTAGAAAATATTTTGAATTAAATAAAATGAAAATCACATATTTATGGCATGCAGCAAAAGTACCGGTTCCAGGAAAATGTATAGCATTAAGTGCTTATATCAGATAATAAGAAAAGTCTCATATCAACAATGTAAGCTTTCACCTTAATAAACTAAAACAAAAGAAGACCAAAAATTCCCAAGCAAAGAACAAAAAGAAAATCATAAAGTGCAGAAACCAATAAAATTGAAAACAACAAAACCATGGCAAAAATAGATCAAATTAAAAAAAATTGTTCTTTGAAAAAAATTAATAAATTGATATACTCTAGACAGCTTGACAAAGAAAAAAAAGAAGAAAACACAAGTTACATGTCAGAAAAAAGATATTATATATCTGTAGACATTAGGAAGATAATAGGGAATGCTCTAAACAGCTCTAAGTGTATTCAATAACTTGGAGGAAATGAACCAATTCCTTGAAAGCCACCAATTACCAAAACTCACCTAGGAAGAAGTAACTCTTCATTTAGCAATTTAATTGATTGTATGCAATCTGCAAAGTCTGTCTCCTGGTCAGCAGCTCAAATTCCAGTTCATCTCTTATGTCTTTAGAATGAGGATCATTCTGGCCCTTCATATACTAATTCATGAATCTGATGGAGATTTGGGCAGAGTTTTTTTTTTTTTTTCCCTTAACAAAGAGTTTGGTGGTTCCTTTCTATAAGTATCTCCTTTCTGCAGTTCTCTCTTCACCTTCTAGTACCTGCCATTTGCCTGTGGTACCTCAGGTCTTAAAGGCCAAGGTTTTCTGTTGCATGGCATTGACCATGGCCTTCCCTCAAGCCAAAGCAATAACAAAAATGGGAAATTTACTCTGTGCTTAATCCCATCTTCCGAGTGTCACTTCTCATCCAGAATTTTCCTGCTTTTGTTTACAGTAAAAAGCCTTCGGTGTATTTTATCCCTTTATAGTTATCTGAGGGAGGGTTAGTTTGATAGAAGCTTCAGTTCAATTCAGTCACTCAGTCATGTCTGACTCTTTGTGACCCCATGGACTGCAGCACACCAGGCCTCCCTGTCCATCACCAACTCCCAGAGTTTACTCAAACTCATGTCCGTTGACTAGGTGATGCCATCCAACCATCTCATCCTCTGTTGTCCCCTTCTCCTCCTGCCTTCAATCTTTCCCAGCATTAGGGTCTTTTCCAGTGAGTCAGTTCTTCGCATCAGGTGGCCAAAGTGTTGGAGCTTCAGCTTCAGGGTCAGTCCTTCCAGTGAATATTCAGGACTGATCTCCTTTAGAATTGACTGGTTGGATCTCCTTGTGGTCCAAGGGACTCTCAAGGGTCTTCTCCAACACCACAGTTCAAAAGCATCAATTCTTCAGTATTGTTTTATTTATAAAAATAAATATATTCACATGATTCAAAATTCAGAGGTACCCAAGTGAAGTGTCTCCCTTCTAAGGGTTATTCACTCAGTCATGTCCAACTCTTTGCAACCCCATGGACTTTAGCCCACCAGGATTCTCTGTCCATGGAATTCTTCAGGTAAGAACACTGGAGAGGGTTGCCATTTCCTACTCCAGTCTCCCTTCTAACAGGCCCCTATTCAGTTATTTTTCCTA